AAGAATAAACATTGACATCCTGGGTGTCAGTGAACTAAAATGGACAGGAATGGGCAAATTCAATTCATATATCATATCTACTACTGTGGGCAAAAAGCCCGTAGAAGGAATGGAGTAGCCCTCATAGTCAACAAAAGAGTGGGAAAAGCTGTAATGGGATATAATCTCAAAAATGATAGAATGATGTCAATACAAATCCAAGGCAGACCTTTCAACATCACAATAATCCAAGTTTATGCATCTACCACTGGTGCTGAGAAGACTGAAATTGACCAATTCTATGAAGACTTACAACAACTTCTAAAACTGACACCAAACATAAATGTTCTTCTCATTCTAGGGGATTGGAATTCTAAAGTAGGGGGTCAAGAGATAAAAGGAACAACAGGAAAGTTTGGCCTTGGAGTTAAAAACGAAGCAGGGCAAATGCTAATAGAGTGATGTGGAGTCACATCATGGAGAAATAGCTCCTGTATCCTTATACTAGCGGTTGCCGGAGTGGTTCCCTTCCCCCCTCCCATTAATTAATTGTCTGCAGAGTCAGACAAATAATATTCTAGACATAGGTTTTGGAGTTACAGTGGTGCCTCACTTGACAACGATAATCCGTTCCAGCAAAATCGCTGTAGAACGAAATCGTCGTCAAATGAAAGTAAAAAGCCCATTGAAACGCATTGAAAACTGCGTTCTAATGGGCGAAATACCTCAGCATCCAGCGAAGATCCTCCATAGGGCAGCCATTTTCTGGTGCCTGTAATGCAAGGAATCTGTCCTAAGCACAGCGGGGAGCCATTTCGACCCCCAACAATCAGCTGTTTTCTGATCGTCATAATGCAAAAACTCGGTTCCCGAAGCAGGGAACTGATCGTCATGAAGCAGATTTTCCCCATTCAATCATTGTTTTGCAGTCTCAATAGCAATCGCAAAAAGCACATTGTGAAGCGATTTCATCGTTAAACAGGGTAATCGTTAAGCGGGGCACCACTGTATGTGGTAAGAAACAGGGCAGCTGCAAGTACCAATTATACATAGCGAAGCATACTGAGAAGTATTTCATCTCACTTGAAAATACAGTTCAAGGGTATACAAAATAACTATATAACCAGATCTTGCTGTTTTTCTCACCACTATTGGAGCCCCCTGCCCATATTCAAATCTAAAAAATGAGATTAGCAGAAATAAGAGAAGTTTATATATTATGCTCACTATATGAGAGCAGGCTGGCTTTACCTGTTGGGAAGTCTGAAGAGCTTAGCCAGATAGAAGCAGAAAAGACTAGTGTTTTGCAGTAATATACAGAAGAAAACATTCATATCTGTCATTTATCTCTGTATGTTCCCCTGACTTAGGGACTTATTTTCCTTAGGAACTGTGGGAGGAAAAGCTGCAGAAGACAGCATTGACACACACACACCCAACTTACTTGGGTGGGTTTGCTGACAGTGATGTAGGCTTGGGTGTGGAATCCACCATTTGAGGATTCAAGAATCTTCTTCCCACAAGCCCCTCCAGTTTTTGTGATCTCTTCCCGCTGTTCAAGCTCCTGACCAGTAAGGATGGCTAGGGGTAGTCTTTGCTTCACAGGTGGACTAAAGGGAACCTGTAAAGTATAAAAAAGCCTGGTGTTGTCTGGAGCAGCCACTCTGCTTTGGACCTTCTCCCACCTACTTCTATTTTTAAAATGTCGTTCTGTGGCATTTGGAGTTCTGCAATATGTATTATCTTTGACACAGTGCTGGGACAGTTTGTAAGCATGAGAACAGATCCAGGCAAATGGGGGAAGGGTCAAGCAGGTGAACATCTCTTTTAGGGGATGGGTCAGAGAGACAGTTTCAGGCCCAGCTTGGGTGCAGCCACATATTCTCTGCTTTCAGGTGGCAGATGGGGCCACACAGTGGCATACATCCATATGGATAATCCTGATTTCCTATTGTCATGATTAATATGAGCCAGTAGGCAGTTTGGGTGATGCAGATCCATCCTCTGTGCTAGTGCCAGGCCTGGGAGTAGCTGTAACCAATAAAGTTGCATCCTTTTCCTTCTAATTGTTGTTATGTGGTGTGATATTCCTATGCCTCATTCTGCAGCATCATTGAGTTTGGCCGGTAAAAGAACACAGATACAGTGGTGCCTCGCAAGACAAATGCCTTGCAGGACAAAAAAACTCACAAGGCAAATGGTTTTGGCAATGGGGTTGATTACTCTAAAGACAAATGTTCCTATGGCCGTGCTTTGCAAGAAGAATGTTTTACGTTTTTTTGTTCCTGCCTCATGTTTGCTGATTTTTAAATGTTTTTCTATGATGTTTAAAAAGTTAAAGTTTTTTGATTGAAATTTTTTAAATCATCTGCACAATATGTATAGCTTTAACGAGCACTTAATAAACCCTTTGTAAACCATAGGAACACATTAAAGCCGTAGGAACACATTAATTCAATTTTAGTGCATTCCTATGGGAAAACACGTTTAGCAAGACAACATTAACTGCAGAAAGAATTAAATTTGTGTTGCGAGACACCAGTGTATAATGAATAGCCTGCTGTACTGAGCTTTTGCTTCATGGAAAGCATTTCTGCTTAGTGAGAAGTCTTGAAGGCCATATACAGAACTAGTTTGGACATATTAAAACACAATTTAGTGTTGTGAAAATTAGTTGTAGTACTCCTCAGGCATACACAGCCTCCATAACCATGAGGAAGTTTTTGCTTTTGTATTAGATTCACTGTGCAGCAGAAACTGTTGATGGCAGAATCAGTCAAACTTTACACTCATAATTATGATCAACTACAGGTTAGTGTTTAGACAATACATTGAACAGCAATTAATCGGCAATGGAAGTGGAAATTTATGATATTTTCAGAGACTTGCCAGTGAGACTGTGAGTACCCAAACCCAGGATCCATTCCCAACTTTAAAATCTGGTTACTAATTTCAGTGTATGCAGCCAAAGGCTCCTACTATATATATTGTGGAATAAAAGACATACGTGATCTAAACATTCCAAAGAGTAAAAGGACTATTTTAGTATGAAACAATATGAAGAATGTAGAATCAAAATAGTTGTATTCTTCTCTGAACAGTGTGTTTCAGCAGTGTTGTGAGGTTCTTCTTTGTGGCCTCTGTTAATTCACAGAGGACCATCAGAAGAACTATGGTTACAGGTAGGTAACCTCTTTAATAATAATAATAATAATAATTTATTGTCATTGTAAGTATATACACAGTATACCCATACAACGAAATTCACAGACAGTTTATCTAAATTTATCTAAATACAATTTATCTAAATTTATCTAAATACCAAAGCAGCAGGCAACTAGAACATCAAATGAAAGAAGTTGCATTGAATCATAAGAAAAAAAAAAAGCCTGTTGCATAACGTACACTGAAGTAAAAGAGATGATGTCACTGACAGAGTAGATTAGTAATTAAAGACATGCTGATTGTATCATAGGGCTCATGCATCTTGTGGACAGTATCATTGTGCATGGGTTGCACAATTCCTGGAATTAAAGCTGAAACTTTCAAATTAGTGGCATTATGCTATTGTTGGTGACATCATTTCCTTTGTCAGCATACAGTGGTGCCTCGCACAACGAGCGCCCCGTAGAGCGATGAATTTGCTCTACGGTGACGCTTTTGCGATCGCTAATGCGATCGCAGAGCGATGCCCCCAATGGGCGAAAATCGCAGAGCGAACGTCGGTAAGTGGTTCGCTTACCGACCTTCGCTTTGCGACCCGCCGATCAGCTGTTCCACGGCTTCAAAATGGCCACCGGAACAGCCGAAAGGGCTGGGCGCAGCGTTTTCGCGCCCTTGGTAAGCAAGGGGTGCTGCGGCCGGCCATTTCGGCTGTTCTGGTGGCCATTTTGGACCCGCCGGACAGCTGATCGCAGCCATTTTCGCGCCCTCATTCAGCGAGGGGAGGGCACGAAAATGGCTGCCGCCAATCGGAGAAACATCGCTGAACGGTGAGTACAGCAGCCGATTGGAACACATTAAGCACTGTTTAATGCGTTCCAATGGGCTTTTCTGCTCCGCTCAGCGATGTTTCACACAGCGAGGGTTAATCCGGGACGGATTAACCTCGCTGTGCGAGGCACCACTGTACTGTACTTTGTGCAGTTGTATTTTAATCATAGTTAGCTTATAGGTTTTAAACATCAGGCTATGGATTTGATTCGAAACTCTGTATAAAAGTCTAATGGTCTGATGGAGCTTCGAGTGCGTCCATGCATGCCTATTCCTGTAGAAGCTAATGATCAAGTATGTCTGAAAAAGTAGATTCTGATCCATGGAAGTTTACAGTGAAATCAATCTATTTGTATTTAAACTACTTCAGTATATGCTTTTTTCCCTTTTCCTTTTCCTCTTAATTTTTTGAACATACAGAAACAAACAGCTTGTCTTGACTTGATTACTTTAATGCTTTCACTCTGTCTAGAACAAGTTTCTTATCATTGCTATTTATCACCTGCCTAAACTAACAAAAGTTGTTTTCTTTGGTCCAAATTGCTGTGGTTGCTGGTTGCCTTTTGAGAGAAAAAGAAGCTATGTTTAAGCAGCTGCCTGAAACAGTCAATTGCTTATCCTTTGATTAGATTGTAAAATGAGGGTGGCTGCAGTCTCAATTCTGCCATGAATAAAGTATTGCTGCATCTTCTCCTTATTAAGCATTAGTGCTGTGAAGCAGGTGTAACATGTCTCTTCAGACATTGTATGAACATGTGACAGAACCGTCACCCAGTCATTGATCTCCTAGCACATGCCACACAGTAGTCTAAACAAGCAGACAAGTTGATTGTGTTTCAAGTGTGACTGTTGCATTCATGTTCCACATTACATCTGACTGTTGCATTCAATTCCACATCACATCCGTAAAATGTGGAATTGCTTTCTTTACATGCCATTAGATGTAGTGCTGTTTTTCAGCTCCATCAGTCTTGACCATCAGTCTTACAAGTTATTTGTAATAAATAATTACTGGGATAATGCTTGTACTTTGAATATTGATCACAAACTGTATGTATTAGGTTGCTAGTTTTAGTTATTAATATGGATAAATTAAAAATACAGTTTGCTGCCTGAATAGATTCTAGTTCATTAATAGGAGAAAAATACAAGATTTACATGTGTTTTACTTCAAAATATAGCATAATTCTTTTTCAGTATTAACTTTATAAATTTATAAAATATTAATAACTGATGCATAACATGGTACCAGCAAAATTATGTGAATAAAAATATACATAAAGATGCATACCATAATAAAAATTATATTGCAGTGAATAATAGAACTCACTAAATTGATGTTGTGCATGTTTTTTTTAACCTAGTTTATCCTGTGAAATTTTAGTTAAATATTTTACAACTCATGCCTGGCTATGGTGCAATGGGAACGAGGAGGTTTCCACCTACAGGCAGTAACTTGTCTTGCAGCAATGAACAAACATGTGACTAACTCTAGATCTTAATTCTCATTTAAGCACTAAATGCTAAGAATTAACTTCAGATATGATCATGTAATTCTGTTAAAAGAGAGAGAGAGACCAAAATGCCATGTGTAATGTTTGTGATTTTTTTTCTATTACGGTTGAACAGAGAAACCTGACACTAATAAACAGTCACATGATTTTTTAAAACTGAATGTCTTGTAATTTAAATGGATATATTGCATAAACACATGGTTTATTCTTGTACATTTTCCACATATTGTGGAAAGATTTACAGAGACAAAATTTCCAGTAGATCATTCCTTGAGTCTGCTGGGAAGATTTCATTTGTAAAATATGGCTGTCTTTCTTGAGAATCCTTGGTGTTTTTCTTCTTAATGTCGTCTTCTTTAATTCTATTTCTTTGCATCCTTCAGCAAACCAAACTTCCACGGAACTGCTGTCCATTGCTTGTATTTGTCAATCCAAAAAGTGGGGGCCTTAAAGGTCGGGACTTGCTGCATAGTTTTAGAAAACTGCTGAATCCTCACCAAGTCTTCGAACTAACGAATGGAGGGCCACTACCTGGGTAATGATTAGCACAGATTTGTTTTATGTTTTTCTTATCTTTTTCATTTTGTTTTCCCAATGGTATTGTTTTATTGCTTTATTTTGGGTTGTTTCCTTCCATGGTTATACTGCCTCATCTCGAAAAACTGCAGGACATAGGGCCTTTGATATTTTTAAAGACTAGCAGGTTTTATATCATATAACTTTTTGTAAGCTGCAGACCTCATAGATTGCTCCCAGTTTGCATTTGAGGAAGTAGATTGCAGTTCATAAATGCTTATGATGCATGAAACCTGTTTAGGTGCATGAGACTCACTGGCTGAAATATAGTAGTAAGTTGCACTTAGATAGGCCCATTGAATCACTCCTCTATATGTTCCTTTGTTTCAGTGGGCCTACTCTAGTTGCCGTTGGATTTCAGCCATTGTTTTAAATAAGACAAATTTATCATCACAGCTATTCCCCTTCTTAGTTTGTGGTTGGCATGGCATATGGCAGAGGTTTTTTTAAATGTAGTCCTTGTGTTAGTTTTACAGTGGTGCCCCACATAGCGACGTTAATCCATTCCAGGATTAACATCGCTATCCAGATTCTTTGCTATGCGGGGGGGAGGGAACCCATAGGAACGCATTAAACTCTGTTTAATGCGTTCCTATTGGGGAAAAACTCACCGGTAAGCGAAGAATCCCCCATCCGGCCGCCATTTTCGCTGCCTCGGTAAGCGAGGCGCGAAAACGCTACTGGCGCCCATTTTCCCCCAGCTGGGCAGCACAGGCTTCGGAGCGACCGCCGGGGAAGCCTCCACCGCGGTCACTCCGAAGCGCCCGCTGGTCAGCTGGGGGGAAATGGGGCCTATGGGGAAAAATCGCAAAGTGATTTTTCCCCATAGGAAACATCGCAATGCAATCGCTTTTGCGATCGCAAAATCTGCATCGCTATGTGGATTCATCGTTAAATGGGGCGCTCGTTATACGAGGCACCACTGTACTTTAAAATGTATCATTATAATCAAGACTGGTTTCTGTTCTGGCCAATGATAAATGTAACAGTTGTCAGAAAAATGCATTGAAATGCATGTTAAAGCTACCTTGTAAGGGTTGTGATTTTTTTCCTTTGAAGAGCCTTATGGTAATTTTTTTTTAAACTTGCCTGATTTAGCATCATGATTTGCTGTTTGTGAAACACAAATCCTGAAGTGTAGGACTGCTTGTCCACCAAGTCTTGTTGTCATTGCCACTGATATCAAAAGCTTTCATGTATTAATTGGATATAGTCAGTATCTGAATAATAGTGCAGTTGAACATGAATGCTATTAATACCAGAACATGCATTGGAGCAGGAAATTTATCCTCAATGTCAAATAATTAATATTTTGCCTGTTTTTAGAATCTTTTAATGTCAGCTAACAAAACTGTAGGGGTAACTTCAATAAACGGCATTTCTATTTTTATGTTTAGTGTTTGGCAGCAGTTACCAAATGGAACAGAAGCTCATTTGTCAAAGAGAGAGTGTAAGGTGGGGGAGGAGGTTGTAAAATCTAATCAGCTTGTCTTTCATTGAAAAATGAAGTGAGCACTTATTAGGGGACTCCAGAAGTAAATCCAGCCTCACCCCCTCCCCCAAGTATGCCACATCGTTTAAGTCTTGGTCATTTGCTGCTCTTTAAAATGGAACATTGTACTTTTTTTTAACTATATAAATTACACCCACGGGTACTACTGTAGATGTTTTTTGGCTGGTTAGAATCATTTCATGTATTATCTGTATATTTCTTGCTTATCTTTATATTTTGCAGTTATGGAGTAGTTTTTCAGGCATAACTCACAAGTGGCTTACCTTTGTTTTTTGTTGCGAGCCTGTAATTTCCTCCTTTGGCATTCAGCATGGTGTTTTGTAGCTGGAAAACCACATTGGAAGCACACAGTTACAAGATGGGGGATAGTTAGTTCAGTATTATTATGGGCAAGAAGGATTTTGAAAATGTTGTAGATCGCAAGCTGAATCTGAACCTACACTATGATGTGGTTTCAAAAAAGGCAAATGCTATTTTAGACTCATTAACAGAAGTATAGTGTCAAAACTGTGTGGAGTACAAGTTCTCTCTATTCAGCCGTCATTGGGCTTCATCTAAAGTACTATGTCCACACTTTAAGAAGGATGCCGACAAAGTGGAATAAATTCAGAGCAGGGCAACAAGGATGTTCAGGAGACTGGAAAACAAGTGCTATGAGGAAATACTGAAAGAAATGGGCATATTTAGCCTTGAGAAAAAAAGTTTGACGGGAAATATGATGACACTCTTCAACTACTTGAAATATTGTCATACAGAGGAGAGGCAGGATCTGTGCAGGACATGTAATAATGGGCACAAATTATAGGAAGCTAGATTTTGGTTGAATATCAACAAAAACGTCCTAACTGTTAGAGCAGTATGACAGTGAAACCAAGTGCAGTGGTGCCTCACTTAACCGGCACCCCGTTTAACGACAAAATCACATAGCGACGAAGATTTTGCGATTGCAAAAGCGATCGCATTGCGATGTTTTAAATGGGAAAAAATCGCTTTGCGATGATCGGTTTGCTGTTTCGCTTACCGATTATCGCATAGCGATGATTTTCCAACAGCTGATCGGCGGTTCCAAAATGGCCGTGGGTAAAAAAATGGGCCCCCGCTGTGATTTCACGCCAATTCCTCGCTTTCCGGGCAGCGAAAATGGCCACCGTATAGAGGATTTTCGCTTAACTGTGAGTTTTAAGCCCATAGGAATGCATTAAACAGGTTTTAATGCATTCCTATGGGCTTTTTATTTTCGCATAGCGACAAAATCGCTTTGCAGCGATTTTAGCTGCACAGATTATCGTCAGTATGTGGGGCACCACTGTACCTTGAGAGGTAGTGAGTGCTTCAGCACTGGAGGCAGTCAAGAGAAAATGAGACTACATGTCAGATATAGTACTTTGAATTCCTGCACTAAGCGGAATGTTGGGCTCAATGGCCTTATAGGTCCCTTCCAATTCCATTATTCTATGATTTCATGTCTGTCTTGTCTCCTATTTGCTATTGCTAATGTAACAAAAAAGGAAGCTGGGGTGTGTGTCAAAGATCTTTAGGACGCACCCTCTGTAGCCTGAAACGCAGCAGAATTATGAGCCTGTATATTGAGTACCACTTAAGTCAGAACCTGAAAAGCAGTTTTAATAACATGGGACTTAAAGCTATTTTTTGAACATTAGACCTCAGTGTCAAATCACAAGCTACTTTTGAAGCATGGAATGTTTTTCTTTGAAATCAACAGCCTCCTTCAGTATGTAAAACTTGTGGTACAGCTCTTTAGATCGTGGCTTCACTCTATTAAAAAGCGGATGAACAGACTTTTAAAAAAAAATTCGTTGAGAGAATTAAAGAATGTATTTTTTTCTTTAGTGTATTTGCACAGTAATATTGTGCCAACTTTTTATATTGCAGGTTTCATGCCTTCTCTCAAATTCCTAATTTCCGAATATTGGTATGTGGTGGTGATGGCACTGTTGGTTGGGTACTTGGTGCACTAGAAGAGGTCCGACATAAGCTTGTCTGTTCAGAACCATCTGTGGCTATTTTACCTTTAGGAACAGGTGAGGATGCAGTGAGATTTCAGCAATTAAAAATGGCAAAATACTCAATATAAGCATTAATTGACTTACCATTATCCCTTTTAAATGTTGTTTACTATGTTGTTAAGCTGCATGTTTGCTGCAGTGAAGTTTTTCTGAGAGCTGGTATTTTTTAAAAAGTGCTTTTAAGTAAAGCATTTTGTATCTTCAGATGGCCAGAATCCTATAAATGTTCATTTGTATGGCTAATTGTAGCTAGTTGGTCAGATCTGAGATGCAACTTGATCATATGCCTCATTATGAAAAGCAGTTGCCTGCAATTAACCAAACAAATTATTCAGTAACATTCTAGGGTTAAAGTGAGATCTTTTTGTCTTTGAAGTTGTTAATTGAATTCTGTTGTGTTTTTTTTTTTTAATCAGGCAATGACTTGGGGAGGGTGCTCCGCTGGGGTGCTGGATATAGTGGCGAAGATCCTTACACCATTCTGATCTCAGTAGATGAGGCTGATGATATTCTTATGGATCGCTGGACCATCCTTTTAGATGCTCAGGAGGCCCTGGAAAGCTCAGAAAATGGTGTGTTAGAGCCTGAACCTCCTAAGGTATTTTCCTTTGGCTTCTCCCGCCCTCCTACCCATCCCCACCAAGAAAAGTTTAAAAAAGAGAGAGAGAGAGAGAGAGAGAGAACCCAAAACCGGGAATTGACACTATGTGGGCCTCCAGATGTTCTTGAACTGCAATTCCCATAGCCCCAGCCAGCATAGCCATTAGTAAGGAATGCTGGGAGTATTATTTAAGGAGTATTTAAATCCAGTATTTAAGGAGCTGCATGTTGTCTGTCCATGCCCTAAGCACATTCTTGCCCATCAGACTACCAGTGTATAAGAAGCCAATGTTATGCCATTTCAATTTCTAGCATCTCTTTATTCCTGCCCTACTCCCCTTCTCCCTGCCTTGCATAACATTCAACCACCTACCTATCCAACTAGAAGAAATAATCACCTTTTAAGAAAAGCTGAATTCACTTGATTGATAAATACAGTGGGGTCTTGACTTGAGAACTTAATCCGTATTGGAAGGCGGTTCTCAAGTCAAAAAGTTCTCAGGTCAAATCTGCATTTCCCATAGGAATGCATTGAAAACCATTTGATCCGTATCTGCTCTTTTCCGTCCATAGAAACTAATGGGAAGCTGCTATTCCGCCTTCGACCACTAGAGGGGGATATTTTGTTTCTTTTTTTTCTTAGGTCAAGAAAGGTTCAGGGAAGGCAGGGAAAATACAGTCTAGGCAGTACCAGGCAGTCTGAAGATTGTCTCCCGATCCACTCTCTAAACGCTGGGAGGAGTGAGGAAGCAGACAGGTATCCTTTTCACTAGCCAACAGTTAACTGAAAGTTCAAATTTTGCACTTTCTCTGCCTCCTACGTGGTTTTTTTCAGTTCTTAACTCAAATCTAAGTATGTAAGTCAAGTCAATATTTTCCTATGAGAGTGGTTCTTAAGTAAAAATGTTCTTACCTCAAGCCGTTCTTAAGTCAAGACCCCACTGTAGGTACACTTACCATGCCTAGAGTAGAGCACTGCAATCCTTCCTTTATCTCTAGAGTTTTCTCCTTGTGAATTGAGACTCTGGAAAATCAGCATCCAATCTCACATGGGGAGCCTCCATGTGAATAGTGGAGGCTCCACAGAGGCGGTGGGGTAACAACACTCACCTCTGTTTGTGAAAAGGGTACATGGTTTGATAATAACTGAACAGGGCTAAAGAGAAAAGAGAATCTCTTTTTGCTTTCCCACCCATCTTGTTCATGATGTGTACTGTTCTTTGCTGTCTTCTCCTTCTTATTTCTTGTGCACATTTCCTCGCCCATCAGTCTCTGTCTTCATTCCCCACACATCCTTCCTGATGAATAGGCTATTCATAGCAGAGCTTTATTTTTTCCATGGCAGTACTTTGTTAATAGTTATTACAGTCAGAATATGATTCATTTACAAAATCTTTTTTTTTTAAAAATACAGAGAACAAAAACATTGTCTTTTAGACTATATTTAAATGTGCATTTTTGGAAGAGATATTATGCATCAAGTACAGTAGATATTTTTCTTACCAGCAAGTGGTGTTGGCATATTTGAATTTAGTAAACAGTAATTAGGACACGTTTGATCAAGAAATGCTAGTTTTTCTTTTCTTAAACATCCTAGAAAAATTGAGTTCAGTTTGTCTGTTGTCAGTCAGCATACGAGCATAATGTTTTATTCCAGGATAAATTAGTGAGAGAAGGATAATTACAATATTTTCCCTTTTAAAATCAAGCAGTTTTGTTTTTTCTTGGTATGGAGTAAGAATGTAGTAAATATTCATGGCTTTAGAATTTATTACAAAAATTGTTACACTTCAGAGACTTCGTTGAAGTTCTCTTTTTGAGCAACAAATTCTTGTATGGATCTGAATTAACTGTTTTTGTTTTCCTTCTTGAACCATTAATCTGAATAATAAGAAAAAATTATAGAATTATAGAAATTATAGAAATTATGGCAGTTCAGATCCTTGGGCTTCAGAAATGAGGCAGTTAAGGGTGGTCATTTTGTTTTGGTTTTTTTGTTTTATTCACATATAATTTTGTTCTTCCTCCAAGGGGGTTAGGGTGATAGATATGGAGGTTACCCCAATTTAGCATCTCAAAAAAATGCTACAAGGTCTGATGGAATAGTCAGACTTCCCTAGGATCACCCAAAGAGCTTCATAGCTGAGCAAAGACTTTGGTTCAGGTTTCCAACACTGTGACAAGCATGTATTCTTTACAACACAAATGTTCTGATCTATTTGTTGAAATTTAGAAGATCTGATCTGCATTAGAGAAAGTTATCACTATCTTAATTTTTTCCAGATTGTACAAATGAACAACTACTGTGGCCTTGGAATCGATGCAGAGTTGAGTCTAGGTTTTCATCATGCCAGAGAAGAAGAGCCAGATAAATTCAATAGCAGGTATGTAGAACTTGAGCAAACGCACAGGCACTTTCTTTCTCCCTCCCCCTTCCCAACATATTGGTATTCCCATTTCTGGAGACAAAGTGGGATATACATTAGATCAGATAAATTAATATTCAGAGAGAAGAAGAATGTATGTGTTTATGTAATTGGCAGTACTTTATCTTTTGGTCCTCCTCTAGTATCTTTGGTATGCATGGAATGTTCTTTCTTGGGGGCATCAGGTATAGCTAGAGTTTAAATGCAAAGTTGGAATTGTCCTGTGGGGGAAACAGGCTTTCTTCTAGCATTTTGTCATGCCACCTGTGCAAATTAAATCCAGGTGCTGTGCCCAGTGATTTTTTTCCTACACACACAATCCTGTACCTCAGTGAAAGCATCAACCAGATATGTGTACCACTAGCTGTGCTGGAGAATTTCAGGAAAAAAGAATATTATATCAGTAATGGGCAAGTCATAGCCAATGATGCAGTGTGACATGCTGTTCATATTAAATGAAAAAGTAATTGAAATATTTCTGTCTCTAGGTTTCACAACAAAGGTGTCTATGTAAGGGTTGGATTGCAGAAAATTAGTCATACCAGAAATCTTCATAAAGAAATAAAACTCCAGGTGGACCAGCATGAAGTTGAGCTTCCACATATTGAAGGCCTTATCTTCATTAATATTCCCAGGTAGAAACAGTATATCTATTTTTTTCCTTTAACATAATAACACTTACATTATGGTAGGATCCTTTGCTGTATTTTAGTAGCCAAAATATCTTCATTAGTAGATATTATCTTGGGCTTGTGTATATTCAGGATTGACTGAATCAGTATATTGGCCTGGTTTGGACATAATGATTCTTTGTTGATAGCATCCATGAACAATATGTAGTTTGTGCCAATTAGAAACATTTAGATATACAACTTTTGATTTCAGTTAGCCACAGTTTAATACTGTGCCCGAACTCTGTACTGTGCCACATGATGGTGGAGGCAGTTGACTGACCACTGGCAGCCAGGTCCTCCTTGGTGCAGAGGATGCTGGGAGTCATAGCCTTGCTGCCCTGAAGAACTACAACTCACAGGAAACACCAGGGCAGATTACTTTTTGAAAAAAAAATTAGCAGTGGAAGCCAAAGGCCAGAAAAGCAGATGGAGGGGCTTGGCAACATCAGAGGTAAAACCTGAAAGACCTCTTGGGGGTTGAAATCTGCAGATTTGTCTTTAAGGGCAACTCCTTGCTTGGGGAATTCTTGGAGAATTCTTGGACTTGCAGTCCAAAAACACAAATGAGTACACTCCTAATCTGGTATACGGGGAGATTATCCTCTATAATTCCATGAGCCAGATCCTCCTGTAGGAGATGCAGAGAATCACAGTTCCATACAACAAGGCACTGCAAAGAAAAAGATCACTTTTTCAGATGACAAAGGTGCAGAAAGCTGAAATAGTGCAAAAAATAAAATAATGACCCATCATCTTGGAAAGAGTAAGCGACATATAGAGAGATCAGATGTGGGCACAATACATTTGCTTAGTACATTGATATATGACTAAACATTGTGAAGGCATTGTGAATAGCACTGAATATTTATATGGCTATGATAGGCTGCCTGTTTGATCTTCTGAAGTCATCTGATGACCCATCTAAGTACAGGTTACTATATAAACTGTATGCCATCTGTGGACTACATGGACGAGATCCTATGGCAACTGCTCTGTATGAAACTGTAATTGACAGATATTTTAGCTAGATCTTCCCCATTCATTTGTGCACTGTGCCCATCTGTCTCTTGATGCTGGTCCTTGCTAGGACATGGTGTGGGGAGTTAGCCTATATATTCAAAATGATACAATTTCCATGACCTTTAGTATTTTAAGTTGCAAATTAGGTTGCAAAACACCATCCACAGAACTGCTTGTGGAATACGCTTTCCTCAGTTATATAGATTTTGCAGCCATTTGCACAACTCCAAGTTGTCCTGGTATGGCTATGTAACAAGATTCTAGCCAATGTTTAACTACTCGAAAATGGCTGCCATACCCCTCCCAGCCATGTCAGAGAAGGAAGGAGGGTCTGCAGTTCTATAGGTTTATTGTTCCTGTGACATCAAATCATTGTTTATTATTGGCTGAAATCTATTATTATTTATTTATTTGTTTAAATTTTTTTTAACCTGCCTTTCTCCTTAAAGAGGACCCAAGGCAGCTTATGACAATTAAAAGACAGCATTTAAAACTAGTAACTATGAGTATACAATATTAAAAGGGTTGATGAATACAGTACCAAAAAACAGAAGCAACACCAAAACACGTTCAATGCAGTAAGGTACAAGAATCTGTTTTAAAAAGCCCCACTCGGCAGCCATTAACTCAGGGAAAGCTTGCTTAAGTAAGTTGCAGCCAGGGTAGTTCCATTGATAAGACGAATTTATGGAGAAGTTGGCTCACCAAATCCCCACTGATTCAATGGGCCTACTGTAGTTGTGACTTACTACTGGTTTTCATCCAGTGTGTCAAAATAAGGCTGTTTTGTAGGCTTTAGGTTAGTCATTAGCTCACCTGCAGTGCTTAACAGCTTTTTCACTAAAGGAAAATACCAGAATGACTAATGAGGCACTCCTGTTCATGCACAAGCTCTGTTCTGCCTGCTCTGTTCATTCTCCCCCTTGCTTTTGTCCATTCAGCTTGGGATCTCATTGTATGAAGCTGCCCCCAGTGAATCACACCATTGATCTTTTGATCTCACTCAATACTGTTTGTTCCCACGGACAACAGCTTTTCATTGTCTCAGACAGACCTCTTTCCTTGTTGTGCTAGGACACTTTTCAACAGGAGATGTTTGTGATAGATCCCAAGACTTCCTGAGTGCAAAACATCAGCTCATACCATTCAGATGCCACTCCTTTAACAACATTATGTCATGAAATTATTGATCTTATAGCCGACAAAACATATTTCTTGCATTGTGAAAATACCGCAACCAGTGCGTTGTGGAAGAAAAAAGGCATGGACCTCAAGACTGCACATCACTGTTTTAACAGTAATCCAACTTTTGCTTAGAACATACAGTATCTGATAAAATCCAAAACTATCACAAGTTCAAGAATTAGCAGTGAGTTGTCGAGCCATTGGCAAGTTAACTGAGATTCAACAACATTCTTATCCAGTTGACTGCCTCCATTCCTTAAATCCAACTGAATCTGAATCAAGAGATTGCTCAGATCATACAGGACACCCCTGAGAGTTTAAGATAGTAACACCCAATCCTTCTAAAATGTCAAGGAAATATTTAACAAAATAATGTAGCTATGGAACCAGGCAGTTTGGTGCAAGTACCAAATTAATTATCTTAATTATGTATGTGTGCATGCATGCACACTTGTGCGGACGCACACACACACAAGCACAAACCTATGAAGAGTTTTTTCTTCTTCTTTTTTTCTATTGAAACTGAAGAGAAGCAAAGAGATAACAGGTATGAAACACAAGTTGAAGTCCAGAAACAGCTGCAAGGCAAATATAAGGACAATTTGAGAGGACACAAAAAAGGGACAAGACCTGCTTTTATTCTGGAAGCCCACAATGAACCTGGTTCATCGTCGTTTAGTCATGTCCGACTCTTTGTGACGCCATGGACCAGAGCATGCCAGGCCCTCCTATCTTCCACTGCCTCCTGGAGTTGTGTCAAATTCATGTTGGTTGCTTCAATGACACTGTCCAACCATCTCATCCTCTGTTGTCCCCTTCTCCTCTTGCCTTCACACTTTCCTAACATCAAGGTCTTTTCCAAGGAGTCTTCTCTTATGAGATGGCCAAAGTATTGGAGCCTCAGCTTCAGGATCTGTCCTTCCATTGAGCACTCAGGTTGATTTCCTTCAAGATGGATAGGTTTGTTCTCCTTGCAATCCAGGGGACTCTCAAGAGCCTCCTCCAGCACCACAGTTCAAAAGCATCAATTCTTCGGCAGTCAGCTTGCTTTATGGTACAGCTCTCACTTCCATAAATAACTACAGGGAAAACCATAGCTTTGACTATTTGGATTTTTGTTGCCAAGGTGATGTCTCTGCTTTTTAAGATGTTGTCAAGCTTTGTCATCGCTTTCCTCCCAAGAAGCAGGCGTCTTTTAATTTCGTGGCTGCTGTCTCCATCTGCAGTGATCATGGAGCCCAAGAAAGTAAAATCTGTCGCTGCCTCCATATCTTCCCCTTCTATTTCCCAGGATGTGATGGGACCAGTGGCCATGATCTTAGTTTTTTTGATGTTGAGCTTCAGACCGTTTTTGTACTCTTCTCTTTCACCCTCATTACAAGGTTCCTTAATTCCTCCTCACTTTCTGCCATCAGAGTGGTATCATCTGCATATTGGAGGTTGTTGATATTTCTTCCGGCAATCTTAATTCCGGCTTGTTAGAGCTGTTAAAACCAGTGAAAAGCAAAAAGATCAGAATTTACCAATTATTTGGTGCAAATGCTTTTCCTCACAGAAGCTCAGCTGAAATTGAAGTCTCAATTATTAAGCAGATTGACTGACTGACTGATAATAATATATTTGCTGGTATAAGTTGGATTCATGCAGATATTTGTTATCATCTTAAATTGTTATTGGATTCACTCAGGGCTTGCATTTCATGTCCTCTTTGAGTAATAAATTGTTTTTGTTTGTGCTGCCTTCTGATGTATTCTAAAGTGCCCTCTGCAGGTCAATAAAGCAAAAGCAAAGAGGCTGCCGAAACACTTCCTTGATTTTAAAGTACTGAGTTGATTCCAAAATAGGTAATGGCAGCATCGGAGTTTGTCAGCGTGGAAAAATACTCCCCTCTTGTTTTGTCAGATGTCAGTTCCAGGATAATATAGCCAGGATGAGGAATGTTGAGAGTTGATATCTCAGAACATCTGGAGGGCTAAACCTTGTCCACTCAAATGTGGAAGAATTATAAGTAAGGTTATGAGTAGTGCTGATTATTTGCTCCCTTATATTCCTATTCTTGCTGGGCTCAGGATTGCTGTAATTAGAGCCACTGCATTTTTTTTAACTCCCATAGCAAAATGGTATCCAGCCCATTCCAGTATGGTACTGATTTTAGTATGGGGAAAACATGAAATATGTTTTTATGTTGTTGGTGTGGAAATGAGATGACCCAGGTTTAAATCCCACTCAGCCATGATAAACTGGTTGATTCAGGGTCAGCCGCTCTCTCATGCTCTATCCAGTCTCTTGATATTTGACAAGGATAAATATACACTGCTTTGAACTCATTAGAAGAATAGAAGGATACAGATATAACAAATAAATGGCTGTCAGACTAAAGAGAGGTAAATAGTAAGATAAGTGGTCAGAAAAATAAATGAGAAAATCACTGTGTTTTCTTGTGGGAAGTCAGATGGGAGAGTGCATTTCAACAAATGAAATTATATTTTCAAGCCCCTTTGAAAACAGTGACTGAAGAAGCCTTGTGGCACAGTGGATGGTCATAGATAGCTAGGGAACAGGTGGTTGAACTGTAGTACTGCAGCCAAGACTCTGCTCATGACCTGAGTTCAATCCCGACAGGCTTCAATCCCAATCAAAGTTGATTCAACCTTACCATCCTTCCCAGGTTGGTAAAATGAGTACCCAGATTGCTGGGAGGGCAATGTATAGGCTGCATAATTAAATTGTACATTGCCCAGAGAGTGCTTTAAGCACTGTGGGTCAGTATATAAACAGGACACTTTGCTTTGCTTTGGTTTGAAGTCCTTTTGTGCTGCTGCACAAAAGATGAAACATTTAGAGATCAATTGCCTCAGGTTAAGAAGTCTCCATAAATGTCATCTATGTAACAGACAATACAGTGGTGCCTCACAAGACAAATGCCTCGCAGCACAAAAAGCTCGCAAGACAAATGGTTTTGGCAATGGAGTTGATGACTCGGAAGACAAATGTTCCTATGGCTGTGCTTCGCAAGATGAATGTTTTCCGTTTTTTGTTCCTGTCTCATGTTTGCTGATTTTAAAATGTTTTTCTATGATGTTTAAAAAGTTAAAGTTTTTTGATTGAAATTTTTTAAATCATCTGCACAATATGTATGGCTTTAAAGAGCACTTAATAAACCCTTTGTAAATCAAATTCGACTTTGTTCTGACTTTTTTGCCCATAGGAATGCATTAACTAGATTTCAATGCATTCCTATGGGAAAATGCGTTTTGCAAGACAATTTTTTCACAAGACAACATGAACCACAGAACAAATTAAATTCATCTTGCGAGGCACCACTGTATTTACAGAGATTTCTTAATTTGAGGCAGTTCATCTCCAGAAGTTTATGCCTTTTGCATAGAAGCACAACAGGATTCCAACCAGTGTGTACAGAGTTGCTTATCCTTTGCTTTGTTTGCCACCGTACCTCTGTCTTCTGTGGAAACTCATTCTTTGTAATCCTGTGGCTCCCAGCAGCTACAGAACTGCTTCAGAAGTAACAGAAGTACCAATTACTTTTGCTTCATCGCTTCTCACATGTGGTCTGTAAGGAGGAGAGAGAAGGGTGTCACTTGTCATTTGCCATTGCCTTTGCAAATGTTCAAATTCTAAACAGGAAGTTTGTGGTCTTCTATGCATCTTTGTCAAAATCCATATAATCTGTTTATGGCATAACATTTTTTGTGGGAAGCTGCATAAAGCAAAAGGTACTTCCTTTTTTAAATGTTAACTCTGGCTTCCTTTTTATGATCTAACTAGTTGGGGATCTGGTGCTGATCTTTGGGGATCTGATAATGATAATCGGTTTGAGAAACCAAGAATTGATGATGGCTTACTGGAGGTTGTTGGTGTCACTGGAGTTGTTCACATGGTACGTCGAATATTTATCCTTTTAAAAAAAATTGGATTTCTACCCCGCTCATCTAGACCAAAGGTCTACTTTGGATGGCATTGCAAATTTAAAAACAGTTAAACCAATAAACATTCCCAGGTCTTTTCATTAAATCTTTATAAACTATTACTGCCTAATGTCTCCTGCCTCCTGGATTAGATTCATTCATTAATGTAGTTTGGTGTAAACTAAAATATTGACTGAAATCTTGTTATTCAGCATAGTAAGTTGCATGAAAGTAGCCCCATTGAATCATTGAGGATTTGGTAGGTCAGCTGCTCTGTAAGTCTCATTTATTCAAATATGCCTTCTTCAATTGCAATTTGTTATGTTTAAGTACTAAGCCGCAACTGGAGTAGGCTCATTCGAATCAATTGAACTTATGGAGGAGTTGACTCACAAATCCCCACTGATTCAGTGGTCCGCTGCAATGCAACTTGCTACATAAAGCAGCAAGATTTCTGTCAATATGTTTAATGTGTTTGATTTGACAAGAAGTACTTTCAACATTGTAAAATAAAATGAAACTGAAACCTTAAATGATTTGTTAGCAAAATACAGCACATCACTTTTCAGAATATACCTTGTTCATTGCATTTTAATAACTTTTTTCTCAATGCATTCTTGAATGTTTCATGAGTAAAAAGCTTTATATAAAATTTTCAGGAATGCTGCATGAGTGTTACCAGTTCTTGATCTTCTCAAAGGATTTTTAAATGTTGCATTTTGTCTTCACATTAATATTTAGTTTTAGAAAAGCACTATTTCAACTTTATTGCTCTTATCAGGGTCAGGTCCAAGGTGGTCTGCGTTCAGGCATCCGGATTGCCCAGGGCTCCTACTTTCGTGTAACACTTCGGAAGCCAATTCCTGTACAAATAGATGGAGAGCCCTGGATTCAACCTCCAGGACAGATAATCATTTCTGCAGCAGGACCAAAGGTATGCAAACTGGTTTTGCGTCTAACATTGTCTACTAATTTTAAGAAGCCCCAAACCATATAATCTTTTACAGACATTTCCCTTAAAATACTTGCATGCTTACTTAATAGACTAAAGAGTTAGAACATGATTTCATATTTGTTTGATTTGACTGTAAAATGCCTGGTCTTGTTAAATGAAAATGTGGACAAACATTATGGCCTTTGCCACTTCTCTCCCTTCATTCTTGTCATGCTATTACTGAAGATTGTTTAGTTAACTAATCAAAGTTTCTCATTTTGTCTGAACTGGGAAGCATAAGTTATCAGGATGGGGAAACCATCAGGAACTACAGTTTGCTCAGAGAGGTCTGTACCTATCAGGCATGATGTTGGCAGTTTACTAGCAATTCCGATTCTCCACCAACCAGTCCATCCTTGATATTTTATTGGTATTTTTGCCACTGGTAGTGTAATTATCTCTGTCCCTATTCCTTTGACTCTCATGCTTTCTCCTTTCAGTATAAACTCTGAAGGGATTATTTCTGGATGGCATAATGTCACTTGGGAGCATGAGTCTTTTAGAGCTTGATATTTAGTCTCATTTATATAAATAGTATCCCCAGAATATATCATAAGTTCCTGATTATCTCCAACCAAGTAACAGTGGGCAGTGAACGGTTAACGGTATTCTCTTACTGGGACATATTGGGTAGAGAAAGTCTGGTTCAGTAACTCAGTATGTTTTCAGTCACGGTATGGTGGAAAGAGATAACATTATGGCACATCAAGCTCATGTATTTCTCAGCTTAATGAGCAGAAATGTGTTATATCCAAATTGAGCTGTTATTTTTAATATGCTTTTAAAATAGTTCTAAACTGTTTTTATCTACTAGTTTTAAATCAGATTTAATTTAAAAAAAATATTCTAGTTGACTTACTGTATTTTTAATATTGTAAATATAGTCTGTTTTAATATTGTAAGCTACCTTGAGTCCTTTTGGGGGAAAAGGTGGGATGCAGATGCAATGCAAATAAATTATCTAGGTTGCAAACTTCAATTGCAGCAAAAAAATCTTTGTCTCTGTTATCCACTTTTCTATATACATAAATGTTCTATTCATTTATTTGAACACCCATTCATATTTTACAGCAGTGGTTCCCAGCCTTGGATCCCCAGATGTTCTTGTTATAAAACACCCAGAGGTCTTCACTACTAGCTGTGCTGGCCATCAGTTGTAGACCAAGAACATATGGGAATCCAAGTTGAGAACCACAGGTCTACAGCAATGCGTCTCAGAGACATACTATGGCAAGAAATGTGTTTTTTCCATATGGTCTAAAGAGATCCATGTACGTAACTTGTGCACTTCTATGTGCATAGAGTATTATCAGCGTTTTCTCTTTTGGCTGATCTTCCTTCTGTTATATCACATCCAATTTGGGTATGTTTCTTGATCTTTAGGAGATTCTTTCCAGTAGTCTTCACTAGGTTTTGGACTTCTTTAGGTTCCAGATACCAATTTGTAATTTTTGTGCGATGTCATAAAGCCTTCACATTACTGTGTGTTAAAGATTTAGTAAGCATCCAGTTCTTTGCTGGGTTGGAAGTAGGGCACATGTAATTTCCCCAAATGCTACAGTGTGAGGCATCAGAAAACACAAGCCAACAGTGCTTTCTCTTGTCAGTTTGATTCCAGCTATGTAAAGCCAATTAAAGACTTGCTTGTTTAAACAGGCCTACCGCCCAGTCAATTAAGTCATTTTCCTTTTCTCTTTCTCTATCTTTTTTTTTTGTATACCACCATCTTGGAAACCTTTTATTAAGGTTATTAAACTAATTTTACTAATTAGTATAAATGCATTCTATATGTTTTTTAACTTGTTTTAACTGATGTAAGCCGCCCCGAGTAGACGTTGTCTAGAGGGGCGGGGTAAAAATCGAATAAATAAATAAATAAAATAAATAAAGCACCTTTCTTCTATGTTATGTTGTACTGTACTATACCACATGGCTTGGACCAGGCTATTTGAAAGACCATATTCTCCCATACCAACCTCCCTGGCCTTTATGATCTTTAGGAGAGACCCTGATCTCAGTTTGACCACCCTCAAAGTGATCAGAACACAAAGAGGGCAATCTTGGTGGCTGTTGCCATCTTTTGGATCTGGGTGGGGGTGGAGATGTGCTAAACTGTCCCCTTTTGTCTTTCCATTTGTAGGCAAATACCTTTCTAGTCAGGCATGCCTTTAGCAACTGTCTGCCTGCTAAGGGCAGGGGCTTTAAATATTTTCAGTATAAACAGTTTTTTTTTAAAAAAAAACTCAATTAGAATAATAACTGATTAAACTGAAAATATTTAAATTCTATTAAAACATAATTGCATTTTAACGTAACTGATTTAATTATGATTTAAGGGCATAAATTTACACTGGTGGAAACTGATTATATCATCAGCTGAATTGGGCAATATTATAATAGATTCATTAAACTCTTGCTATCTGCCCATTTCATGTGAAGGCAAGAGGAGAAGGGGATGGCAGAGGATGAGATGGTTGGACAGTGTCATCAAAGCTACCAACATGAATTTGACCCACCTCCGGGAGGCAGTGGAGGACAGGAGGGCCTGGCATGCTCTGGTCCATGGGGTCATGAAGTCAGACACAACGTAACAACTAAACAACAAACAATCCACCCATTTCAGGTTCTGAGGTCTCCTGGGGCTCCTTTTTGCTCCGGGGAAGCCTTGGGGAGCCTTGGATTTGGAGAAGGAGCCTTTAAAAATGTGGCAAATTACTCAGCAATAGTGATCCAGCATTATTTTTGGTGAATTTATGTAAAGGGATTTTGCTAAATTTATGCAATTGAGTTTTGCTCATTATTTGCTATGGTTTTCAATGCCACCTGTTTTGCAACTCTAGTTTAAGCTGCCAGTGCATCCCAGTCATTGGAGGAACTGAATGAATTGCATTTTTCTAATGCCTATACAGTGGTGCCTCGCTTAATGAGCGCCCCGTTTAACGATGAAACTGCATAGCAATGAAGATTTTGTGATTGCAAAAGCGATCGCACTGCGATGTTTTAAATGGTAAAAAATCGCTTTGCGATGATCGGTTCGCTGTTTCACTTACCAATGATCGCATAGCGATGATTTTTCAACAGCTGATCAGTGGTTCCAAAATGGCCGCCGGGTAATAAAAATGGCCACCTGCTGTGTTTAGGAACGGATTCCTCGCTTACTGGGCAGCGAAAATGGCCGCCGTATGGAGGATTTTTGCTTGAAGTTGAGTTTTTAGCCCATAGGAACGCATTAAACAGGTTTTAATGCATTTCTATGGGCTTTTTAAAATCACATAGCGACGAAATAGCTTTGCAGCGATTTTTGCTCACGGATTAACGTCGCTATGCGAGGCATCACTATATGTAGGACAAAAAGAAAATTAGATCTAAAGCTCATATTGTTGACTTTTTAAAATCTCCTTTTTCCCTTTTTGAAGTAAGATGTATTTTTAAAAAATATTGTCTGTAACCTTTTTTTTTTAATTATAGGTTCATATGTTAAGGAAGTCAAAACATAAGCAGAAGAAAACTGGGAATGCAAAGGACTCAAGAAATGACAACATGCCAGTCAGTGAAGTGGGGCCTTGATAGAAGACCTCTACAGGACAAATGCAGCACATCTACTGTAGGGGGAATGGATTTGCCTGATATAATCATTCAAGTTACACAGTTCAGGTTTAAAAGGTTTGCTTAGGAGCCTGCCTGTTACATTCCATGTTTGTTGTACAGTACCTGTCCTGTGGCTGGCATGGCATATGTTCATGCATCACAAATTGATCAGAGACATTTGTATCAGGTAGCCTTTCCATAAAACATTAACCATTTGGTGGGGGGAGAGGTTGCAGGTAGCAAATAAAGCAGCCATTCCATTGTGATGTGTTTTTTAAAATGCAGCTGATTTTTTCCACCCTTTTATCCCAGAAAATCACTTGTTTTATAAAAATAAGATTTAACCATCTTTTAGAGAAAGAGAACCCCCCCCCACACACACTTCTTACTAAAAGTTTCAAGATAGCCCGGTATCCTCCAGAGGAAGAGCAAACAAATAATATGTTTTGATGCTTTGTGCAATAATGCTTTATGTTGACTAGGGATAAATTCATTAAGTCCAGTGGCACAATCTGTCTTCTTCTCTACCAGAAGCATTGTTCATGGCAATGTTTCTAGTAGTGTCTAATAAGCAAATTGCTTCCAGCTTGTACACAGAGGGATCCAGCAGCTTGTTTCCATCTGTGAAAGCAGGGCACGTCATTCACATTCTCCTGCTTGATGATGGTTGTTTGTACTGCACTGTACTTGGTGAAGTGCTGAATGGGGAAAGTCTAGCCACAATGCAATGGGATGTCACCTCCCATGTGCTAGCTCTGCAAGGATTGTGCCCCAGTGTTTAGCTAGCTGTTTGTTTGTTTGTTTATGTACTGTTTAAAAAAAAAACCCTTCCTCTCCACACTACTAATTGAAACTGTTGTGGAGAGGAAGGTCTTCTGTCAATTTATCTGTTTTTATACTGCACAAACTTTTTAATATACACTACAAACTCTTGATTTTCTACTGAGCTGCATGCTTTTTTCTTTTCATGATTCTGTTATCTTGTTCCTAAATATTTTTCTTTTCTTTTCTAAAATCATCTTTCTTTTTACATGGTCTGTGAGACTGTTACTGGCACCCTAAATGCCAAGTATAGAATTAATCATTATGGCACAATATAGTAAATTAATTATTTCAGCATTAGCTGTACTGAGTAGTGATTCACTAAGCTGTAATGTGCAGTGGTTCATTCTGTATGCAAGAATGACTTAGGTTGTTGAGTTTTAAAATCCTTTTTAAAATACCTTCTTATCTCTGGCTATGGTCTGTATTCGATAAGAGAATAGATCTTGGTCTGTCTGTACACATTATGTGGCATCAAAAGAGGAATAGTCATGGCTGGTAACAGAAGGGAGTGTTAAGATTGGTAATTGTCTGAATCATGATTTTTCCATGATTTTACTATTGGCATTTGTTAGTGTTGGGGGGTTCTAAGGCAGTGGTTCTCAAACTCAGATGTTCTTGGATTTCAACTCCCAGAAATCTTGGTCAGCGCAGCAAGTGGCGAAGGCTTCTGGGAACTGCAGTCCGGGAACATGTGGGGACCCCAGTTTGAGAACCATTGTTTTAAGAGACCTTACCTAGCTCTTACATCATTTGAGCTTGCCAGGGAAGAGTAAGTATAGGAGACACTGAGGAATAGTGATAAACTGTAAGAATGAGCTGGGGTGAACCTGGAACACTTAGGCTCCCTCTTTCTGTGTTTTCAGTGAAGTGGAGATCAGAGGCTTTCGCTTCCCTTTTTAAAAAAATTAATTGCAACTTGCTGCTGTGCCTGAACCTAAATGAATAGAGGCCAGTTTCAGATGTAGTTTGATGAAATGGTAACTAAGGCTAACCACAGTTTAGTGTGAATATAACATTAAACTACAGTTGACCTAGAAAAGAGATTAAAGCTTCTGATATCCTCATGACCATGCCAGAAAGGAGCAGGGAGTATACAAGTCCATGTCTCAACTATGCCTCCTTTTTTAAAAAGGAGAAACAGTAAACACTCATTAGATCAAAATGCAATTGATATCTTTCTGTTACTAGAAACTACAGAGGAAGATGAAGCACCGTTGTTTGCTTGTCCTTTTAGTATTATTTCTCATGTTTCTAATGGTAGGAAAGGAGAGTTGCTTTTGCAAAATACTGTTCTTTCACAGTGACAGGCATTATGCCACATTTTGAAGAGAAGTCAATTACTTTGGAATATCAAAACAGTAGCCCCAAATACTAGCATAAAACTTAAACAAATAAAAGATGATGTTTTTAGCAAAACTGCCCATGATGGATGTGCTGGGACAGTCCTCCTCCAGTGCAGAAGCAGTCTGCAGAGTTCCCTCTCTGTGCTCATCTCAGAAACTGGGATACCCTGTAGTTGTTATCTACTGTAATAGCCCATCATTTGGTGGAAATGGTTTATGTATTGCCTCAAGAAATATTTCATAAAAATGAAATGGTGATATGCTCTTAAAGTTAGAAGAGCACAACCTTGTAGCCTAAGGTCAATGGGGAGTGAAACCCCCCCACACACACACACACAGAGCTTTGACCTTGCCCCCATCCTGAGTGTCCCAGGCATTATTTCTGCAGTGGAAAACTGCTTCATAGTTGCTGCTTCAGGATGGCTGGATTTGTAATACTGTAATCTTCATAGCTGTTGTGTCTTTGGGGAGAATAGAGTTAAAAACCCATGATGTGGGCTTTTGCCTCCAGTGATCCAGGATGTTTTTGGGTACAGTGGCCTCATGAAGTGGCACAAAAGCAGAAAGCCTGATTGATGCAGGGAAGGAATTCTGTAGCGGCAAGGGGTAAATTGGGGACTGCAGAAATGGTCTGGGAAGGTAACACCTTGTGCTCTCCTAATTTAAGTGAACAACATCAGAAACAGTTGCAGGGGGTACACACATATTCAGATATGATGAAGGCATGCCAGATATTCAATGTGGTGAAGGTATGCCATGGAGCAGTAGTGTTTCTCATTGGTTGCGGATCACTTTTGGATTTCTACAAGATTTTCTCAAAGGCTGTGTTCAGCTGTTGTATGCTACACAGCAAGAAGCGCGAACACAACAGTGAGGCTTCTGTTTCAGTATAATATATCTGTCTTCCAAGTTGTTAAAGCACATTGCAGTTTATGTATGTTTCCCTGCCACCCACCATAAACACTCCAAAAATTCTGCATATTTTATAGAAGGCATTCTTACAAAACTAGCAGGATGAAATATTGTGCAGGTGAAATGGAAGTACTCATTAAAGAGTACCAAGAGACCAAGAGCTAGCCCTATTAAACTGAACATACGTTTTCCTCTTTCAGGTGTTAAAATAAGATTGGAATCATATCACTTTTCTTTTAGCAATTATTTCCCATTTTGTGACTTAGAAAAGGCCAAAGAACTATATAACTACTTTTCTGAGCAGAGGTGGCTTTAAATTTTGCTCTCTCTCTCTCTCTCTCTCTCTCTGTGTGTGTGTGTGTATGTGTGTGTGTGTGAGAAAGAGAGAGAGAGAGAGAATGGAAAGCTTTGGCCTAATTTGCAGTAGCTCTTTGAGTTCCGCGAGGGACGTGGTGGCGCTGCGGGCTAAACCGCAGAAGCCTGTGCTGTGGGATCAGAAGACCAAGCAGTCGTAAGATCGAATCCACATGACGGAGTGAGCTCCCGTTGCTTGTCCCAGCTCCCGCCAACCTAGCGGTTCGAAAGCATGCAAATGCAAGTAGATAAATAGGGACTACCTTGGTGGGAAGGTAACAGCGTTCCATGTCTAAGTCTCACTGGCCATGTGACCATGGAAAGATTGTCTTCGGACAAACGCTGGCTCGATGGCTTGGAAACGGGGATGAGCACCGCCCCCTAGAGTCAAACACAACTGGACAAAAATTGTCAAGGGGAACCTTTACCTTTACCTTTACCTTTGATTTCCACCCTTTGTTTTTTACATTGGTATTTATAAACCTTTCTTGAAAGCATGCAACTGCTTTTATAGTCATTTATAGGATTGGTAATTTCCACTCCTGGCCAATGAAAAAGCACATTGAAATGCCATTACAATATTAACAAAATGTATGTGCTTCCCTAAATAGAGCCTTAAAGTAGCAACAACTTACTACTGTTTCTAACTTTGTATAAACGTTGTGCGGTTTAGTATTAATTTGCACAAGTGCTGCCTAGAGGAACCTTTGTGCAATACCAGAGGGACATCTCCAGCACAGAGTCAAAATTCAAGAGAGATTTTTCAGTAAATGGCAGCCTGTCTTCCCTATGCTTCCACTCATCTATTCTCTTTCTCAAAAGAAACAACATCTGGCCCACAAAACAGTTCTTTGTACTGGAGAAACAAGATTTGTGTTTGATCACATCATGTGAGCAGAACAACAATGGGTCATTAGGGCACATTAGATACAAGCATCAAGGCATAGAGAATTTCAGCTTAAAATACCATTCTGTCCTCTGCACTAATACTGTATTCCTCACATCTATTTAATCCATATTGAAGTGACATGTCTACATTTGGGCTTTTAAAGGGATAGTTGGAGAAATCCTCTTTACCATTAAAACTATTCACAGACTCCCTCACCTCAACCTTGATCGGTGTTTCAAAATATGTTGGGATTCATTAGTGATGTAACTAATTCTGTGAAGTAGTTGACAAACTGTACTGGTAGCTTGCAGTCCCATGTAGTCATTTGACAATCCATATCTGACATTGGAAAGAATTTAAGTGGTGACTGTATTCAAATTTGAGATACATGTGTGCAAGTTTTGGCTGAAGAGAATATCTCCTTCATGTATAGACATCTTGGGACGGTGCTTATAAAGCTGGTATCCTGACCTTCATATGAGTCTGGCATGGCAGCCATTATTTAACTGTGCCTCTGCCCTTCATCTAGTCAAAACAAAATGCTTTCAATAGAGAGATTAATTGTTCAATAGAGAGATTTTTAATTGTTCCGTTAAACTGAAGAAATTTTGCATAATTCTTCTTTGTAGGCTCTGTGAATCACACTGTGGGTGATTCACGCCTGCGTGGAGCTTCTTCGGAATATTCTAGAGCTTCTGCGGTAGCAAAAAGCCCACATTAGAATAGACCCCTCCCCCTTGGTATAAGTACCTTGGTGCCAGGACTCTCCCTTCAGTTTCTTTCAACCGCTGCATTGAAGAGCCTCATACGTCTATCTTCTGTGAGTCTGAAAGTGAAACAAGTCCTTTTTACTGCTGAACCTAAAAAAATATCTTTATTATTAGTCAAAGATACATATATACACTGATTTTAGATTTCTTCTCCATGCCTTAGCCTCCGGCTGTCGCACCCTCCCTCCCCCTCCCTCAGTCCGATTTTTCTTTTTCTTCTGTTTATTATTCATGGCCCCTTTGGGCCTGTTCAAGCACTGCGTGATTTGTGATAACAAGATCCCGCTATCAGATGGTCACGCAAAGTGCCTTTTTTGTTTAGATGAGGTGCATCAAACCTCCTCGTGCCCTCATTGTAAACATTTCAAACAAGGAGTCCTCTGTTCTCGCCTATCTCTACTCAAACTCCGCCTCTGGGAACAGTCTTTGCAACCGGCAAAACCTATGGGTCAAACTACGTGTAAAACCATCTCACAAGCCAAAGCCATGGAAAAAGCCATTGCAGAATCATCGAAACATTGTTCCTCCCCTCCTCCATCTCACTCTGAAGCATCTTCCACTTCATCGAAAACTTCTAAGATGCACAGGCCTAAACAGCCGACATCGAAAACTTCGACATCAAAGCCTTCCAGAAAGCGAAAGCCTCCTCCCGATCCGGTTCCTGGTCCCCCATAACCGAAACAATCTAAACAAACCAAATCAAAGACCCCAGCAGTCCCTCCACAGCAGGTTTCCGAACCCGGCGATTTAATTTCTGTAAGTTCACCCTCTGATGATGAAGGACTTCCATCTCATCAACTGGCTTCTCAGTCACTGACATTGGACGAGCGAGTAGACCATCTTACTTCCTCGCCTAATAGTCCCTAGCATTCTGTCTCTCCTCCTAATCCATCCACTGACGCCTCCCCAAAGAGAGAGGAACCTGAGCCCCAGCTGGACACAGTGCCCTATTCTATGCCATTGGGCCAGCCTCCATGGCCACCGGCATGCTATCAGGCACATCCAGCATATGATGCAGTTCCACAGGCGCATGTCAATCAATCCTGCGCACAGTACGCTCATCAAGTAGACATTTGCCCTGATCAATGCTTCTCTAACCTGCTGGCTGCTGATGCTCAACCAGCTGCCTCCTCCGGTTCAATATTAGCATTGCGCCAAAAACTTCCAACTCAACAACCTTCGGTGTTGAAGAGGCCTCATTACTCAGAGGCACGCAGCCATCATATAACTTGTCATCAACCACCAGCGAAAATCAG